GGAGCCGTCACCGCGACACCCGGCCCGCGTGTGCCATCGCACCGAGCGGGAACCTCGGCGCCGCTGAGGGCGGCTCCCGCGACGCCCTGCCGCACGAAGAAGGACGCGTCCGTGTCGAGGCCCGCAGCGCTGAGTGCGTCCCGGGCCTGCTGCAGCGTCGCGACGCGCCCATCGACGCTGAGAGTCCGCGCGCCGTCCTCGCGTATGCGCGCGAGGAGCGTCAGGCTGTCGCCGCCGCCGCCACCGTCGCTGGCAGAGGAGGCGGCGGCGGTGCTGCTGAGCTGCAGGCGTACCATCGGGGGGCCTCGACGGCCGCGGTGAGCGAGGTCCGACCACGCCCGGGTCTTGAGCGCCGCTGAGTCCTGCGCGAGCGCAAAGAGGAGGCTGTCGATGACGTTGGACTTGCCGCTGCCGTTCGGCCCGACGATGACGTTGAGGCCCGGCTTCAGGCCGATTTTGACCTCGTCGCCAAACGAGCGGAAGTGCTGGACGGAGACCTGCTCCATTTGGGCTGTGTGAGACGCTGTTTCTCGGGTCCGTTGGCCTCTTTCGTAGGGAAGAATTTTGATACCCGTCAAGACGCCTGCTGGGGGCAGCTTCGCGATGAAGCCGTCTGCCCCCCTTCGACGAGGCGAGAGAGCGCGCACAGACTGACGTCAGCTACGCTCCTGAAGGACACCTCTGAAAGGCACCTTCGTCTGAGGACGGCGTCTGAAGACGACGGCCTCTGGTCAGATTCGGTCTCGTCGCTAGACTCCGATTTCTCTTTGTCAGGCCATGTGCCGCTCGCTCGTCCGCCCAAGTGACTTGGACGCGCGGTCGAGGGCACCCCACCGTTCCTGGGGCGCGCTGGCGCTCACCGCTGGCGCTCACCAGCGGTCACCCCCCACCCATCCACCCTTTTGTCTTTGAGGCTGTCGCTCCGAGAAAACTTGTCTCGCAGCTGCGAGAAATTACCTTGTTCCAGAATTTTTATGTGTTTCCTCCCCTGCTACCCCTGCTAGGCACGGGACTGGCGAGCAAAGAGAAAGCATGCACGCACATCCAGTCGAGAACACACAGACAGGCAGCGTTTCGATCACAGACAGAGTCGAGAACGGACAGTCAGAGACGACAGTCAGAGAGATGTGGCAACACTGGGTGGGGGTCCTCCAGCAGGAAGGCGAATCGTGCGATTACGGCCTCTCTATACGCGCGCGTCGGGGTGAGCTCTAGCTCGCGTCTTCACGCAAAAACACATCGGCCCACCCCCGGGCCCAGGTCACGCAAAAACACACCGCACGGCCCTCGAGTAAGCAGCTACCTTAGCACAGATCAGTCCCAGCCAGTCACGATAA